CTTCCAAGTTCAAATCTGAACTGCATAATGCCACTCACCACCTATGCCAAATCAATCATGATAAAATGTAAATTAGATAGATAGATAGATAGATAGATAGAAGGCGAATGGGGCGCTCCACTATGGAGATGGTGTCAGTTCTATTATGCCGCCACCCACGGCTCCCCATCCGCCGGCCTACAAGCGCTAGGCTCCTGGTCGGCCACCTGAAAGAGGGTGTTTTGCAATGGGCCAAACCCCCCCAGGGAAACCCTAGGGGCCTCTGATCTGTACGGACCGCGAAAGACGCTTGACCGAAAGGGGGTCCCCCCCTCACTCCACGTGAGGCGGGCCTGGGCCATGGTAATTAGGTGTACACTGTTAAAAAAAATTGTAAATTTATCACACCCTTTGTAATGACTAGTGTGTTAAAAAAACAACATCGTTTGTTTTTATTGGCACGTGGCAAAATTCCTTCTATTTTGCCCGCAGTGGTCCATAACAATGATTCCCACGATTCACCATGTTGTAAAACCACAACAATATCGTCGTAAAGTTTGATAGCAAGATGTATCGTTACAGAACAAACAAGTTTGTTTTATTACAATTTTTTTGGTGCAGACGAAAGTAAATGACCACTGTTTTGGAATGAAAATTCGTTTCAGGAAATTTGGTGAATGTTGTTGGATTACAACATGTGTTGTTTTTTAACAACATTTGTTGCTATCAAACTTTACATCAAATGTCTTGTAAATTTACAACAACATTTTTAACAGTGTAGTGTAAGCATGAGAGCAAGATCCCTGATCGGGCGTAAGGTACAAGGGAGAGGTGTGGCGGCCTGGCCGAAGCCAGGCAAAGTGCACCCCTCCCTAAGCAGTGGACGACACTCAGCATGCTGCAAGAAGAAAATTAAGAAAAAAAAGGGGGAGCTAAGCGACCCTTAAATGGTCAAGAAGTGCGCCTGGGGCACAGGCAACACAGATATAGGGCAAGGCACGGAAAAGGAGCAGAAGGCTCTGGAAATAAGGTGGAACGGAAGAGTAGAAAGGGACAGGTGGGAAGCTAAGGAGGCAGGGGTAGTGAGGCAGTGGCATTGAAAGGAGAGGAGGACCAGGAGAGCAGAAGGGCGAAAGGCAAAAAGGCAGAGAGGAGGAGAGCAGCAGAGAAGATGTAAGTGGAGGCAGGCAAAGGAGGCAAAAGGCAGACGAGGACGGCAGAGCGGAGCGGAGAGACAGAGCTGGTAGAGAGAAGAGAGGTAGTGAGGCAGAGAGGGTAGAGGAAGCAGAGGCGCAGCTGGCAGAGAAGTAAGGGGTCGCGAGGGTGCAGCAGAGAGACGAAGATGACGAGGAGCAGTCGGTGGAGAGTGGGAAGCCAGGTATTGTAGCGAGGACGGTGGAGTAAAGCCGCAGAGGCGGTGGGAGAGATCGGAGGGTAGAGAGGCAGAGATAGCAGA